ATAAAATATTTTTAAAAATATTATGAAATGGGGGTGCCTGCCTGGCTCAGTCAGTAGAGCATGGAACTCTTCATCCTGAGGTCATGAGTTCAAGCCCCATCCATGTTGGGGGCAGAGTTTACTTAAGAAAACAAAAACAAAAACAAACAAAAACAAAAACAAAAAACAAAAAGCTAAAAAGGTAGTAGGAAATCGATTCTATCACGGATGTTTTTATCATATGATAATCAGGTGTAAATGATATTAGCACTGAGGTTGGCAAATTATGGCCCACAGGCCAAATCTGGCCCATGTGTTTTCATAAACAGTCTTGTATTTACCAGTCTATGTAACCGAGGGTGGTTACACAGGTGTACCTCTTTCTAGAGTGGTTAGTGTCCAAATGCAAAGATGTTCGTGCAAGGATTCAGCAAGCTTTGCAGTTTATCCTTGGCTGTAACTGCCCCGTTCTGAAAACGTGGGCAGGACCTTTGTCTTGTAAGGGCCTGCACCTCCCAGAGGAACTGGCTTGTGGACGTGGATGTAGGGGCGAGGCAGGCCGGTGGAGACGTCCAATCGGTGGGGCACGCGTATATCCACTGGGGTGAATTGGGATTCAATTGGCCGCCTGTGTAGGGGCGGGGCTCAACCACCCCCATAAAGGTTGGTCTGCGAGTCTGTGGAGGGGAGAAGAAGGAGAGCTGTCAGAGGAAGAAGAAGGAAGAAGAAGAAGCAGAAGGAGAAGAGTCGACTGGAGCAGAAGAAGAGCTGTAACAGCTCTTGTAAGAGCTATAGGGGCTGTAACAGCTCTTGTTAGAGATATAAGAGCCCCCAGCGGTCCCGCGCCACCAGAGGTCCGGACGCCTGAGGCCCGGAGCTGCCAGCGGCCCCAAGCCGCCAGCGGTCGAGACGCCAGCCATCCCACGCCGCCAGCGGCCCCAAGACGCCTACGGCCCCGAAGCCAGCGGCCCCGCCCACACACTGCGACCCTCTTGGCAGCAGCGCCGCGGGGAATGGCCTAGACAGCAGCAACCTTGCCGGGAACCCTGAGCCGCTGCCTCGCCGGAGCGGTGTCATTCCAGGGAGCGGCTTCATCTGGGAAGAGGCCTCCTTGGGGAGCGGCCCTGCGGGAGCAGCAGCATCAAAAAAGAGGCTTCCTCCAGAGCCACCTCGCCGGAGCAGCCTTGCCTGGGGAGTGGCCTCGCCAGAGCAGCCTTGTCAGAGTGGCGTCATGGGGAGCAGAGTCTGTGTCATCGGTGTTGTCCTCCTCGTCATCGTCGCTGTCGTCATCGCCTCGTCTTTGGGAGCAGCCTCGTCCTGGGAGCGGCTTCCTCCAGAGTGGCCCTTCTTGGGAGCACCTCCAACCGGGGAGTGGCCTCGTCGGTGAGGGGCCTCGTCCGGAGCAGTGGCCTCCTCTGGGGAGCAGCCTTGTCAGAGTGGCATCATGGGGAGCAGAGTCTGTGTCATCGCCGCTGTCATTGCCTCTTCGTCGTTGGGAGCGGCCCCATCTGTGGAGCAGCCTCGTCCGGAGCGGCCTTCTTGGGAGTGGCCTCTTCTTGGGAGCGGCTCTATGTTAGGGTCCGTGATCAAAGGAACGAGACTGATATAAAGCAAAAATCAAACAAAGCTTTATTTCACTCCAAGCGTCAAAAATCAAACTGACCGGTCAGGGCTGTTCTTACGAAAAGACGAGGATGATGATTCTGACAAGGTCACTCCCAAGAAGGCCGCTCCAGACGAGGCTGCTCTGCAGATGAGGCCGCTCCCTGGTTGGAGCCACTCCCAAGAAGAGGCCACTCCCAAGAAGGCCGATGCTGGTGAGGTCGCTCCCTGGACAGGGCTGCTACCTACACAGGCGGCCAATTGAATCCCAATTCACCCCAGTGGGTGATATTATACGCGCGCCCCACCGATTGGACGTCTCCACCCTGCCTGCCTCGCCCCTACATCCACGGTCCACAAGCCAGTTCCTCTGGGAGGGGCAGGCCCTTACAGTCTTAGCATGGTTTGTAACAGCAAAATAGTAAATCACCCTGATAGGAGAAAGTTTACGTCATGAGGTGCAAAAATTAAATGGCATACTATTGGGAGACCAAATTGGGTTCCTAACAACAACACGGATGACCCCAATGTGGGGCTCGATCCCAGGAACCCCAGGATCGCCACCTGAGCCAAAGGGAGACGCTTCACCAACTAACCCACCCAGGCGCCCCTCCAACATAGTCTCTTTAAATCATTGTCAATCTTTACCTGCCAATTAGCCTCTCTAGGCTGTATTTTCTGCATCTACACAACGGAAATAATAGAAGAACCTGCTTCACCAGGATCCCTGTGCTGCACGAGGTAATGGAGACTGCGTGCTGGGGTACAGCCTACTTTGCAGCAGCTGCTCAAATACTTATTATCATCTCTCTGATGACTGATGAACTCATGCATTTTTTAACATACTGGTTGTCCATTTGTATTCCTTTTGTAAATCTCCTGTTCATACAAAAGACTAGTGAGCAACCTTTGCCTTGGTTCTCCCTAAATGGAATGGAGATGGCTCTACATCTGGGATTGGCAAGGTCTTTCTAGTAAATATTTTACCTTTTCAGGCTATGCAAGCTCACAACTGCTCAGTTCCACCTTAGTGTGTTAAAACAGCCGCAGACAGTACGGAAATGAGTGGGTGTGGCTATGTTCCAACAAGATTATTTACAAAACACATGGGCCAGGTTTGGCCTGTGGGTCATAATTTGCCAACCTCAGTGCTAATGTCATCATTTAAGCCTGATTATCATATGATAAAAACAATTTTTTTCCTGTTACCAGGGGTTTTCTTTCCTTAGTCTTTAAACGTTCTCAACTTCTTTCTCATTAATCATTGAGATGACTGGCTTTCTCCACTGATTGATTAAAATGGGTATTATGGTTATGTATTTCCTAATACTCAGTACGCTGATCCTGGAATGAATGTTTCTGAATTCAAATGTACTAGCTACTCTGGCTTTACTGGCAGGATCTGATCTGGAAATTTTGCATTAATAGTCCTGAAAGATATCGGCCTTTAATTGTTCCTTCTTTGATTTTGACAAACTGGCATCACAAGAGAGGTAAACATTCAGCTTTCTACATATTCTGGAACAGTGTGTATCAGCACAGAGCCCATCCCGGGACTTGACCTCACAACCCTGAGATCATGACCCAAGACAAAACCAAGAGTCAGATGTTTTAAGTGACTGTACCATCCAGGTGCCCCTTCTCCCCTTTATCTTTTCATTTACTGTAAAATTATAGCAGTTTCTTAAAAAAATAAAAAGATTTGTTTATTTGAGAAAGAGAAAGAACATGTGAGCAGAGGAGGGGCAGATGGAGAGAATCTCGTGGGGCCCGACACAGGGCTCGATCTCTTGACCCTGAGATCATGACCTGAGCCAAAACCAAGAGTCGGACACTCAACTGAGCCACCCAGGTGCCCCATAAAGCTGTAGCAGTTTTGAACATGAAAAGGAAAATCACACGATCCCCAAAGACTTTTACTGACTAGCTACGTTCATTTCTGTTTTCTTCTAAGCTCTTCTCCAAATGCACATGGAGGGCAACACAGTCACAACAGGTCACATTTCACTGTAGCTGACCCTGGAACGACTTGGGGGTTGTTGAGCGCTGATGCCCTGCACATCTGAAAATCTGCACAGAACTTTGACTCTCCAAAAACTTGACTAATAGCCTCCTACAGACTGGCAATCTTACCGATAATACAAGCAGTCAGTTGATTAACACATAGTTTATAGATCATATATATTACATTCTGTATTCTTATACTAAAATAAGCTAGAGGAAAGAAAATCAAAAGGAAGAAAAATAAATTTACAATATCGTACTGTATTTATTGAAAAAAATCCACATGTAAGTGGAACTGCACAGTTCAAAACTGTGTTGTGTAAGGGCCTGCCCCTCCCAGAGGTACTAGCTTGTGGACCCCGGAAGTAGGGGCGGGGCACGCCGGGTGAAGACGTCCAATCGGTGTGGCGTGGGTATATCCACTGGGTGAATTAGGACTCAATCGGCTACCTGTGTAGGGGCGGGGCTCAACCACCCCCATAAAGGTTGGTCTGCGAGGCTGGCAAAAGGGGGAAGGAGAGCTGTCAGAAGAAGAAGAAAGAAGGAGCAGCAGAGAAGAGTCGGCAGGAGCAGAAGAAGGAGAGTCGGCGGGAGCAGAAGAGAGCTGTGACAGCTCTTGTAAGAGCTATAGGAGCTGTCGCAGCTCTCGTTAAGAGCTGTAGGAGCTGTAACAGCTCTTGTAAGAGCTGTGAGAGTGTGACAGCTCTCGTCAGAGCTAGACGAGCCGCCGGCAGCTCCGACGCCTGCAGCCCCGCCCACACCGCGGCTTCGGCAGCGGCGCCGCGGGGAGCAGCGGAGCCACCTGCAGCGGACCCGCCATTGCACCTGAGACGCCAGCGGTCCGGACGCCAGCTGACCCAGCACGCCGGCGGTCCCAGCACACCAGCAGCAGTCCATGACGCCAGCGGTCCAGACGCCGGCGGTCCTGACGCCAGCGGTCCCGACACCAGCGGCCCCGCTGACACACAGCGGGGAACGGCCTGACGCCGGCAACCTCGCTGCCAACGGCCTCGCTGCCAGGAGCGGCCTTGATACCCTGAGCCGCAGCCTCGCTGGAGCTGCGCCATTCCGGGGAGCGGCTTCATCTGGAAAGAGGCTTCCTCGGTGAGCAGCCCTGCGGGAGGCAGCATCATCAGGAAAGAGGCTTCCTCCAGAGCGGCCTCTTTTTGTGAGCAGCCTTTCCAGGGAGCAGCCCTGAGGAGCGACCTCATCAGCTGCGGCCTCGTCCTGGGAGTGGCCTCGTCCAGAGCGGCCTCATCTACAGAAAGGCCTTATCCAGAGCAACCAGGTTGGGAGCGGACTTGCCAGGGTCATCGTCGTCACCTTTTCGTAAGAGACAGCCCTGACCGGTCAGTTTGATTTTTGATGCTTGGCGTGAAATAAAGCTTTGTTTGATTTTTGCTTTAATCAGTCTCGTTCTTTGATCACGGACCCTAACAGTTGTTCAAGGGCCAACTGTATTCTAGGCATTTTCCATGTTTCTACACAGTGTTCATAATTACAGTTTATAATGAATTCCTGAAACAAATTAGAAGCAGCCCAATTTTCTAGCATTGGGGGAACAAGGAAGCAACTAATGGCACTCTGGCTCTTTGGGACAGTACATCAGTCATTCAGCCAAATATCCTCAACCTGTTTTGACTTCTGAGCAATAGCCCTTCCCACACTGGGTAATCACATTAGTTAGTATTACTAAAGAGACTTTTGATCTCACTAATTAAAAAATTTTTCCTAGGTATCAAATGCCACGTAGGTTCAACCCTTCTCTGGGAATGCACCAAAAAACCCACAAAATTTAAATGTATGTGTACAGTTTTTATATATTAAAATGAAATATGTATTTTTTTCTCCCTCGTATGAGTTTTTTAGTGCCCAATAAAATCAGAACCTTGATTAAAAGCCTGCCTGCATGGATGACATTTATATGGTTTCTCTCCAGTGTGCATTCTCTTATGTTGAGTGAAGGATAAATGAAAACTGAAAGTTTTCCCACATCTGTTACATTTATATGACTTCTCACCAGTATGGATTCTCTTGTAAACCGTAAGGTGAGAGCTGTGACCAAAGGCTTTTCCGCATTCATCACATTCGTTTCTCTCCACAGTTTCTCTCCAGTGTGCGTCCTTTCACGTTGTGTATCGAAGGAGCAGTCGCTAAGGGCTTTCCCACATTCGTTACATTTATAGAGTTTTTCTCCAGTATGTGTTCTTATGCACACTGACATTAGACCGTCCACTGAAGGATTTTCCACAGTCATCACATTTATACGGTTTCTCTCCAGTATGAATTTTCCGGTGTACATTAAGGTGAGAATTTTGGCTAAAAGACTTTCCACATTTATTACACTCATAAGGTTTCTCACCAGTGTGAGTTCTCCGGTGTAAAATGAGGTGTAGGCTCTGCCAGAAAGACTTCCCACATTCATTACATCCATAGGCTTTCTCTCTACCGTGATTTCTCAGATGGTAAGAAAGAGATGAAAGTTTCTTAAAGGCTTTCCCACATTCATTACATTAATAGGATTTCTCCTTAGTAGGAGTTCTCATGACCTGAGAAAGGGGTGAGCTATAGATAAAAAAATCTCCACTTTCTTTAAATCCATAGAATTTCTCTCCTATGTTAATTATCTCATGTGTAGAGAGGAATAAGCTCTGGCTGGTATCTTTACCATGCTCATTCAACTTTGACAGGTTTCCCAAAGGTTTTCCACACGGACTGCCTTTACAAGGTTTCTTCCCCACCAAGATTTCCTGATGATTTTTTAAAATAAAATTATGCTGTACGCTTTGAGTTGAGTCAATTTGATAGAAATACTCTTTAACAAGAAATCTCCGTGAAGAAAAAGTCTGAATTGAAGCTGCATTTTCCCACAATTGCAGCATTTCCCCAGTCCCCAACCCGGGTCTCACTACTTGCCCTTGTTTATGTCCCGTCAGCCCGGAAATGGCACTGTGTGTCTTCTGCTTCTCCGACTCGTCCCCAGGTTCCCAGCTATCTGCTGTGGTAGAACACCAGCAACCATCCACTACAGGCTTCGTCAGGTTCATGCTGCTGGGTAACTCCTTCCCAGCAAAGGCCTCTGTTGGTGGCAACTCTTGGCTTCTAGGTCTCTTCTTCCTTTCTAGAAGGAAATTAAAAATAATTTGGGTGCTTAGAAGAAAACTCCTAGAGTGAGAATGTTGAGATAAAAGCCACAAGATGTGCACAGGGGGAGTAGATGTTTTACAGTACCAACCAAAAAAAAGGTGAACTCTGAGAAGAAAAGCCACGGAAGGTACACACAGAACACAAAGAACCCACAGGAAGACTGACCAACCTAACAGTCAGCACAAAAGGCAGAGGGGATACCGTTACGAGACAGGTCACAGAATAGGCAGACACCCCCAGACGTGAGATGCTCAGAATCACCGCCCTTTGCTTATGCTTGGACATCCCAGAATCTGACCCATTTCTCCACCTAACGTCTTTTCTGCCTGTAGTCGATAACAAATAAATCTTCCCAGCAAACCAGTTTCATGATGGTAAGAACATGTCTTTAGATCCAGTCTTCCAAAGCACCCAGAAGCAGGGTCAGACTACCTTAGTTCTCCTCAACCCTTATCCTTCTGCGTTTTAGTTCTCCCTTAACACGACCATTTCCACCAATAGCACAGAGTCCCTCTGCCTGAGGACCTTTCTTGGGTCTCCAAAGTCTTCAGTGTCAGCAACCCGCCCCTTTCATCATTCAGCTCTCAAGTCCCAGGTAACCTCCTCTGAGAGACCCTGCCCAACCTCCCGGCCTGCCTGGGTTCCTCGTCACTTTCCACCACATTGTCCTGTTTTACTTCCCGCATACACTGCTCAGCATTAGTCAACATCCCTTTGTTCTTTTCGTTCTTTATTGTCTGCCCCCCCGCCAGACACCATATACTAGCGGCTTTCGGCTCCACGGTGGGGGGAACCTTGTCCATCCTGTTCCCACTGTGTCTCCAGTACCCAAATAACACAGGGAATTAGAGAGCTCCACAGGCATATGGATTAACACAGAGTGGTCCGCACACTAGGCAGAGGCAACTCACCTAGAGCACCAGGGATGCTTGGGACATGTCTGCGAGGTGGCCTGACAGGGCACCTCCTTGTGCTCAGCAGCCTGACTCCCAGTGGCGGGGAGGCCTTGTGTTTCTGACGTGGGAGGAGGCTGTGGAGCTGAATGCGAGGAGGGCTTTGCAAGGTCACGCAGAGCAAAGAGGGGGCTGGAAACCTGCAGAGGGTTTCTCCTGGAGTCCTTAACTGGACTCCAACTGCAAGTGCACAGAAGGCTAAGACCTGACAAAGAACAGCTGTTACAGGGCTGAGCAGAGGTTTCAGAAGTTACCAAGTGTTGGGGGACACTGGCTCTGACCCGGTGAGCACCCGAGGCATTCTGGTGAAACTGTAGAAAGTTGTACCTTAGAAGGAAACAGCCTCAAGGATAAGAACTACATCCAAGAGCTAAAGCAAAACCAAAGTTATGTTACTTTAATAAATCCTAAACCTGAGCCTCATCAGGATTAGGATGATTTCAGTAATTTAACTGCCTCCAGAAAAAAAGAACAACGGTGTCACGGTCGGCGCGACAATCGACCAGGGTCGAGAGGGTAAGAGGATGCTGAAAAGAAATTAAGAGACAAAGAGATGGGGGCAGGAGGAGCACCAAGGAGGATGTCCAATAGTGCTGATTTTATTCAAGGCTGTGAGGCATTATATAACTAACAGAAACAATCATAAGAAAAGTATCTATTTTTAGCTGATTACTAAAGAGTTTGCAACATGCACAGAAAATCCTTCAAGCTTTCCCATTATCTATTTTCTAAACATCAATAGCAGATCTTCTAGCGCCAGATGTACTGACTGCAAGGCCACTCAAGACATAGTTTGTGTAAGCACAGCACAGTCTTACAGTGGTGTAGTCTATAGCCCGTGCAAGGACAGCAAGGACCAGCCAAGAATTTCTGACCCCGGCCAAATTGTCTCTATCTGACTAGCAAACGTGTGGGAAGTCACGTAGGCGAGCGCACAACACATAGCACAAACCCTTTCTCAGTGCTACTCAACTTTATTGACCTAAGCCTTTTGTTCGGCTATTTAGTCTTTAAAGGAGGCACAAGTCAGGGCCTGGTTTGGTTTTTGTCTCAAGCCTTACCGTGGCCTCCCACACAACGGACAATTCTGGTAGAAGACAAGACTCCATCATCTCTCCAATGCATCGTGTGCAGCATTCAGTATACAGAAATTGACTAGACATGTAAAGAATCAGGAAAATGTGACTCATCACCAAGAAAAAAAAAGTCAATAGAGGCAGATATACCAAACATTAGAAGTAGCAGGAAAAAAATGAAAAATAACTATTATAGCTCTTTCTCTTCAACTTGGTGGCTGAGCAGCAAACACAGAGATGATCCTCATGAAGACCCTGACAAGCAAGACCATTACCCTCATGGGAGCCCAGTGACACCATTGAGAATGTCAAAGCCAAGACAATGAGGGTTCCCACTTGAAGCCACTTGAAGATCAATGTCTGTGCTGGGGGAGGACGGCTGCACTCTCTCAGACTACAATATCCAGAAGAGCCCCTGCATTTGGTGCTTGGCCTGGAGGTATGTCCCCTAGCCTTCCTTCTGCCAGTTCGCCCGGAAATTCAACTGCAACGAGCGTTGTGATCCCAGACGTGTGGCCGCACCAACCATCCACACCCCAAGAAGAATGTCAATAAAGCCCCTCCATCAGCTCTTCCTTTCCCCACAGGGTGGCCTCCTGCCCGAGCCCCATGGCCCTGGGGCCTCAATAAAGTTTCACTTACACTGACTGGGGAAAAAACCGAACCTATTATAAACATAACAGAATTTCATGGGAAATTTTCAAATGAAAATTCCATTCTGGAATTAAATAAAAATGTAGTATCTGAAGTAAACCTGAGAAGACTTCATAGCAGACTAGACACAACAGAAGAAAGAATCTGTGAATTCAAAGGCAGGTAAGTGGAAATTTTATGATGACACAAAAGGAGAGAAAATAATATAAAAACAGAACACTTGACAAAAGGATTAATGTGTAGTTGGAGTTACAAGAAAGACTGAAGCAGCAGAGGAAACATTTGAAAAGATAAGAAAAGAGAGTTGATCTAGACTGATCAAAGGTACCATCCTAGGTGTTTAGTGTTCAAGGGCAATAACCTGCAGAGGAAATCGTATGATTCTGACATTTGATATCAAACCTTTCAGCACTTCATTACGCACCTCAATGTTACAAATGAAGCTAGTAAAACCATTCTAAATGACAGTCTCCGGGGGAAGACAGACATGAGACTAAAATTCCCACTTCTAAAATGCAACTTTTTACTGGGTACATAGTAAAGACTCACCCAAAAAAAGGTGAAAGTTCACAGGCAGTGTGGGCTTAAAGCACCATACCCAGAAATGTAGAACTAAACCATCAGTTCTTTCTGATTTCATTCATCTGTTCCCTGTAAACCCTCTCCTCTCTCTGAAGAACAGTTGGTAAACTGTGCCTACCTTTCCAGAGAACTGAGACAGACACAAGGGGGAGCCTCATCCAGGCCAAAATGACAGAATTCCAAAAGCCAAGACTTTAAAGGGATGACAGGTCTCTATGAAACACCACATCCAACAGTAACAGAATACATACATACCCACCTACCCACCCAAATAGACCATATACTGTATCGTAAAAACATTTCTCAATAAATTTAAAAGGACTGAATTCATACAGAGTATGTTCTTCAACCACAATGAAAATAATCTAGCCATCAATAACAGTAATCCCCTCACACTTGGAAATTGAACAATGTACTTCACGAATCAAAGAAGAAATCACTTTTGTATGTTGTATTTTCATTACCATTTAGTTCAAGACATTTGGAAAACAAAAAATAATGAACTGAACAATAATGAAAATACAGGGGCCCCTGGATGGCTCAGTGGGTTAAAGCCTCTGCCTTCGGCTCAGGTCATGGTCCCAGGGTCCTGGGATCGAGCCCCGCATCGGGCTCCCTGCTCGGCGGGGAGCCTGCTTCCTCCTCTCTCTCTCTGCCTGCCTCTCTGCCTACTTGTGATCTCTGTCTGTCAAATAAATAAACAAAATTTAAAAAAAAAAAAATGAAAATACAACATGTAGGGCGCCTGGGTGGCTCAGTGGGTTAAAGCCTCTGCCTTCGGCTCAGGTCATGATCTCAGGGTCCTGGGATCGAGCCCCGCATTGGGCTCTCTGCTCAGCAGGGAGCCTGCTTCCTCCTCTCTCTCTGCCTGCCTCTCTGCCTACTTGTTATTTCTGTCAAATAAATAAAATCTTTAAAAAAAAAAGAAAGAAAGAAAATACAACATGTGAAAACGTGCAGGATGCAGTTGAAATTAAGATTTAAAGGAACATGTATAACTATAAATGCAAACATTAGAAAGAGAAAGCATTAAAATTAATGAACTAAGCTTCTGCCCCAAAAAAGCCAGAAAAAAGGAAACCAAATTAAACCAAAACAACGAAAGGGAATAATAGAAAGCAGAAATCAATGGAACAGAGAAAAAAAAATTCAACCATGTCTATAGATGCATATACAGCATTTGATAACACCCATTCATGATAAAAAAAAAAAAAAAAAAGTCCTCAGGAAACCAGGAATAGTACTTTCTCAATTTGATAAAGGGTTTCAGATAATATTTAATGGTAAAATATTTAATGCTATTCCGTAACATCAGGAGCAAGGCAAAGATGTTCATTCTTACCACTTTTATTTAACATTGTACTTGATATCTATGGTGACAGGTATGAGAAGAATGGTTGCCACACTGGGGGAGTCCGAAGTGGAAAAGGACATTAGGAAATGTATGGGAATGGAAATATGCTATGTGTGGACTGGAGTATAGGTCACACAAATATACATCTGCAAAACTTTATTGGACTGTAGTCTTAGGAACAGCATATCTCACTGTATGTTAATTACACATCAATTTTTTTTAAAAAGTACTATAGAGGTCTTGGCTGGTATAATAATACGGTAAACGAAAAAGCGTAAAGTATCAAAAGGAAGAAGCAAAGCAATCCTTATTTGAAAACAACATGACTGGGTAAAAATCTAAAGACATTGAAAATAAATTACTAGAACAATTAAGCGATTTTAGCAAGTTCACACAGGATAGAATATCAGTTAAGAGGAAATTATATTTATATACACTAGCAACAAACAATAAGATAATGAAATTACAAATAATATTTACAATAGCATAAAAAATGCCAAATTTCTAGGAATAAAATTAGTAAAAGATGTGCATGACCCATATGCTTAAAAACTGAAAAATATTGCTGCAAGAATTACCTAAATATACCATAAGCAAAATTAGAAGGCTAGACATGTTAAGATATAAAGTCTTCCTAAACTGATTCTTTTTTTTTTTTTTTTTTTTTAAGATTTTATTTCTTTGACAGAGAAGGGGAGAGAGAGAGCGAGCACACAAGCAGGGGCAATGGGGGAGGGAGAAGCAGGCTCCCTGCTAAGCAGGGAGCCCAGTGTGGGGCTTGATGGGATCATGACCTGAGCCAAAGGCCGAAGGCAAACGCTTAACTGACTGAGCCACCCAGGCGCCCCCCCCAAACTGATTCTAAGGCACTACCAATCAAAACTGTTAATCTATCACCCAACAACTCCACTCCTAGACATTTACTCAAGAGAATAAAAACACAAGTCCACTGGAAACATTGCACAAGAATGTTAGCACCATTATTCATAATAGCCCCAAACTAGAGACAATCCAAATGTTCATTATCAAGAGAATGGGTAAATTGTAAGTGATTAAGAAATAAAATGTCCCTAAATACTAAAAAGTAAAAAGTAAAGAAATAAAAATGCATATAAAATCACAGATGAATCTCAAAAATCTTAGGGTAATAAGCCATACGCAAAAGAAATAATATATAATTCGCTTTATATGAAGTTCTAGAAAAGGTAAAAATAACCTATGGTGGAAAAAAAAATCTCAATAGTGGTTGCCTTTCGGAAATGGAAAGAGGTAACAAAGGAACTTCGTGAAGTAATGAAAATATCGAGCCCCATTTAGATGAGAATTACATATGTGCGTACATTTATCAAAATGTTTCAATTGTACATGTAAACTTTGTGCATTTTGGAAGTACCATGGGCAAAAAAATAAAAAAGCCCATTGTCTTCAAAGTAACAAAAATAAGAAGGCGGTTGACTTCTCAACAGAAACCATGGAGTCCAGAAGACAACTGCATGGTGTCTTCAAAGTGCTGAGAAAAAGAAAAAAAAAAAACAAAAAACCCAAAAACCTGACAACCTAAAATTCTCTGTTTACAGTATCTTTCCAAAATGAAGATGAAATAAAGGCATTTTCAGGCAAACACAAAATGAAGGCATTTTGTCACTCTGAAAGAAATGATAAAGGGAACTCGAAGCAAAAGGAAAATGATCCCAGATGGAATTATGGAAATGAAAAGGTAATGAAAAGCAGTAGAGAAGGAAGATATGAAGGAACATATAAACACTGACTGTAAAGATCCTTTCCCATCTCACCTAGGCGGGAATCCTGGGAGAGCCCTCTGTCCATCATGCATTGCTCTATTCCAAATTCTAGGTGGGCAACAGTATCTGGCTTGAGGTTCCAAGGTCCTGGGCAAATGAATGATCAAGCTGTGAGGTTCTGGTTCTTTTCATATACATTTTGGGACAACGTTTTGTTTTATTTGTTTTTAAGTAAGCTCAATGTCCAATATGGGGCATGAACTCACAACCCCAAGATCAAGAGTCACATGCTCTACAAAATGAACCAGGCAGCCGCTTCAGGCTGAGGTTTGATGAGGACAAATCCCCCGGTGACTCCACACTCCCAACTAAATCAAACCCACTCTGCCAAGACCCCACGCAAATAGAAGTGGACATGGGGAACAGCCTCACCCACAGTGACCAGGTGTCTTAAGGTCCCCAGCATCACGTTATGGTACAGGGTCGGCTGGGCAGGGCCCAGCAGGCCTCATTCCTCCTGGGAGAAGTCGACCGTCACATCATGGAAAGTAACCTGCCCTTGAAATGTCACCCACATGCCTGCTGAGCCAGGACCCTTACCCCTGCAAAGCTCCCAGAAAAGCAGGGACGGCTACGTGTGAATGCGAATGCACCAGGTGTACAGGGAGATGTTCTAAAAGCTGTCTGGCTCCTGAGGGATACACCTGAGCCTTCGCGGGGGGCATCAGGGCTCCGCATCAGCCATTTCAGAGGTGAGCTGCCATTACACTAAAATGTTCACCCCTACACAGCTCCCCCATTTCTTGATCAACTTGGGATCTTCCACAAAACCAAAAGAACGCTTCCCTTGACGACCCCCCTTTTTTATACCACCAGGTGCATGAAAACGATAACGTTAATATTTGCCGACAATAACGTTAACCTTTGCCAGGGATCCTCATCCCACGCCGGGCGCGGTACTTCAGCGAGCACTTCACCTAACGGAAATTTTCTTACGCCTCACAACGGTCTCGGGAAGCAGTTCCCACTTCTTGGGGGGGGTTGTTTTTCCAAAAGAGGAGGCTGAACTCAGTTAACAGCGCAGGAATTACGGTTATGGCGGCTTCACAAACACGAACTGAGCGACGCTTCGTCTTTCCGACCGTCATTCCAGACGATGGGAAGACAGAACTGCTCGTCCCTTACGTGCGCGGTAGCTGAAGCCACCGGGAATCCGGGTGTGCAACTTTCTCGCCGGGAGGTTTCGTCTCGACCTCTACTGGTTGGGGGACATCGCGCTACATGCAAGGGCTGCAGGATTACGAGGTCTTCTGCCGCGCCTGGCCACAGCGACGGGCTAGGGCACCGACTCCCAACCGAGACTCGGGAGCAGGGTGCACACCTGACCCGGGAAGGGAGGGCGCGCGGCCACTCACCCGAGGGCGGGCTGCCAGGCGCCCCGCGGCCGTCGCCTCTTCCGACTCCGAGATCCTCTAGGCGCCACCTGCAGTACCACCCGCTCCCTCCAGCGCCCACCGGCTCGCGGATCCGGACAGACCGCCCAGGACGGCCCCACACCACGGAACAGACCCGAGGCCCGCGGCCAGCGTAGCCTCTCCACTCTACGGCGGCACCGGGGGCAAAGCGTAACTACCAGGACCAGAAAACCCCGCGCTGTGGCCCCTGACCAATGGGAGAGCGCGGCCGGGGACTCCGGAGAGACGGACCCCGCCGCATAGGCATCCCGGGAGTTGTAGTCGGGAGGCCGGAGCCCTGGTCCTAGTCCAGCAGTCGACACACCTGAGCTCCCAGAGGGTCAGACTACGTTTCCCAGAAGGCGCGGCGATAGGCGTGTCCGCCCAATGGACAAGCTCGACCGGGCCGGGCTGGGGAAAAGGGGACCTTCCGACCTGGTTTAAGCTCCCCGGCCGGGCGTAGGCGGCAATGAGACGGATTTCTCTCACTATAATTCCCCGAAACTACGTTGGTCAGGTTCTCGAACTCCAGAAGCACGCAATCGGTGGCTACGGAGAGTCCGAGAAGCCTGAGGAGAGGGATTCCAGAAGTTACAGGAAATTGTAGTCACACCAACTTTGTCCACCAGGTGGCGGGCGTGGACCTCGGGCCTCGTACTACCTTTCCCAGAGGCTCCGCGGGGCGGGTCCTCCTCCCGAGGAAAGAACGTAGTGGGCGGTGCTGGAAAAATAGGTGTCTCCCAGCAGCGTGGCCTCCTGGGAGTTGCAGTCCACTGTCTGCATTCCTCCGGGTCCCGTGCTCAGGCTCGGACTACAGCTCCCAGAAGGCTCCGTGGCAGCGCGGGGTTGGGAGCGTCTGGGGGCTGCCAGCGCTCAGCTCTAGCTGTCGAAAGACGCTGTCTTCACAAGTACACCTTCCTGAGGACGAAGGCAGAGTAAGTGTCTTGATGACAAAGGCGCGCGTTCAAGTGTTCTGTGCCTGCCCGGTGTTTCCGTTCATCGGGTGGGTGACGGAGGCAGGCTTCCCTCACGCACCGTCGGGTACGTCTTCCATGAAACAGGCGCTCGGGCTCGGCTAAATCACGAGGCTGTCGTAACCGAGGTTTCCCCCGCGTTTCTGCCTCCTTGACGCGAAAGGGAAGTGAAGGGATCCTGGGGCAGTTTCGTTGCGCGTTCGGAGCGCCGGAACGCGGAGAAGCGCGCCTGCGCGGAGCGAACCTGGGTTTGGGAAGGGAGGTGCAGGCGAGCCTTGGGCCGCTTCTCGTGGACGCCGCGCGCTCGGCCCTCCCGGCCGGCCAGTGTGCGGGCGAGGTGGGCATATGGCCCACGCCGGGCGGAGCCCTGACCCCCTGGCGGATGATGTCTTCCACGCACTTTTCGCCTCCCAGCCTTTTCTGCACAGGGCGGACCCCCCAGTCCATGTCCTCTGTGCTCTTCTTGGTGGCTCTTTAAGGGATTTTCAGACCCCTTTTCCTTAAAGATGTATTTATTTGCTTCAGGGAGAGGAAGAGCGGACGAGGGGAGGGGCAAATGGGGAGGGGGCGAAAGAATCCCAAGTATCTCGCACAGAGCGGGAGCCTTGGGGGGGGGCGGGTATGTCACAAACCCCTGAGATCAGGACCTGGGCTGAAACCGAGAGCCACCCTTAACCAAACGCACCAGCCAGGAGCCCCCAAACCCAGGGCTACTCCCTAACCCGTTCCCGGCCACTGCCATTTTGTGTCATTGGAAAGCAAGCCCCCGTGTTTTGGGTGTCCTGTTTTAACTACAGTACATAATGTAACGATAAGGGCCATTTTCCAACATAACTAAAATTCCATTATAAAACTTTTAGAAAAAATAACTTGCACTACTGAATATTCAGTATTCGAACTTAAAATTATCTCCATGGTTTTAAGTAGTTTGAGGGATGAGTGGAGCCTGAAGGGCTCATTCGGTTAATGCACCAACTGGCTCTTGATTTTGGGTCAGATCATGATCTCAGGGTCAGAGACTGACTTCCAGGCTGGGAGGGGAGTCTGCTTGAGTTTCTCTCTTTCCCTCTCCCGCTCCCTCTGCTCTCTCTCTCTTTCTCTCAAATAAATAGGTAAAATCTTAAAAAAATTTATTTGAGAGATCGATAGCGACAGAGCAAGCGTGGGGAGGAGAGGGAGAAACAGGCTCCTGGATGAGCAGGGACCCCAGTGCAGGGCTCGATTCCAGGACCCTGCGATCATAACGTGAGCTGGAGTCAGATGCTTAGCTGGCTGAGCCACCCAGGTGCCCCAATAAATAAATCTTTTTGAAAAACAAAAATAAAAAATAGTTTGATTTTTTTAAAATTTATTTATTTGACAGAGAGAGATCGTAAGTAGGCAGAGAGGCAGGCAGAGAGAGAGAGAGGGAAGCAGGCTCCCAGTTTGATTTTTTCTTAAAGCAGGGTGTAACAAAGGGCTGTGCTTTGTAACATATTAATTCCCTTGTTTTTTGGTAACAGCTTTATCTAAGTATCATTCACCTACCATGAAATTCACCCATTTACAGTGTAGAATTCAGTGACTTTTAGCATATTCACATATTTGTGCAGCCATCACGAAAATCAATGTTAGAATATTTCTTCCCCCTCAAAAAGCACTGTACTTTTTATAAGGCCTTCACCTACCAGTCTGTCCTCCCCCAGCCCTAGGCAACCATGAACTGACTGCTGTCTCTATGCATTTACCCGTTTGGGACATTTCATATAAATGAAGGCATACAGTATATGGTCTTTTGTGACAGGCTTCTTGCACTCACACAGCATAATATTTTAAGTTTCATCCATGCCATAGTTTCAGTTCTGTTTTGCCAAATCACACTCCATTGCACAGATATGGCATATTCCATCCACTCACCAGTTGAAGGACACTTGAGCTGTTTCCACTTTCTGCTTGCTCGTAACGTTTGTGCACAAGTTTTTGCGTGGACATATATGTTCATTGCCCTTGTGTAGCTATCAAAGAGTGGAATTACCAGGTCATATGGTCATTCTGTGTTTAAGAAGGGCCATCAGAAAAAAACAAAGCCCTTCAGACACCCTTGTTTTAGCCTGCAAGACCTTAAGCAGAGGACCCAGCTTAGGCTCAGGTCATGACCGGGTGCCTGGATGGAGCCCCGTGTCAGGGAGGGAGCCTGCTTCTCCCTCTCCCTTTGCCCCTCCCCCTGCTCATGGTTGTGTGTTCTCTCTCTCTCTCTCTCTCTCCCCAAAATAAATAAATAAATAAATAAAATCTTTAAAAACATAAATAAATTTTTAAAAAGTAAAAAAGAAAGGAAAAGACCCACAAAAGTCACAGTGCAACTCTCATGCCAGGAACTGGTGCCCTGCACTCCCTTCCTCAGCCTCCTCATTCCCCCCAGCAGAGTTGAAACCCCCCTGGGCCTCCAGAGGGCTGCCTCTCCCGGCTGGAGATCCTGGACTCTGCTTCTCCCACCTGCCTCTGCCCTAGCCACAGGGCTGCGCTCGCCCATCCCCTCTGAAGAGCCCCACCTCCGTCCAGCCTTCCAGCTTGGCAGAGTGAGCAGCAGCTCCCAGCCTTTCCCTGAATCGTCCACAATAGACTTTGTCACCTAGCGATGCCCCCAGTACTCTCTTCCTAGAAGGGGTGCTCCTGGCCCCTCAGGCTCCCATTTCTGGAGCAGAATCCCACTAGCCAGCCACCCTACTGCTCCCCCCGCCCCTGGCTCCTGCAGGGCCACATGTACCCTAAGGTGGCCGCCCAGACCGCTCAATGAACAGATGAACCCGGTACAGATGGGGTGCAGAGGAGCAGAGAACTTGGGACCCTGGAGCCCGGCTGCTGTGCTGTGGGAGGAGGACCCTGCAGGGCCTGCCAGGCTCTGCCCCAGACCACCAGGCTGGAAAGCCCTGCGGGATCTGGGAGCTGCCCGGAGACACTGGGCAGGGCCCGGGCCAGCATGGGGCTGACTTGGACCCGCTCTGGAGCCTATCAGGCCCTCTGAGCCCTGCAGATTCCAGGAGACGCCAGGCTGGCTAGGGCCTGTGTGTGGGGGGCATTCGGGTCCTTACCCAGACCAGCCCTGAGCCTCTAGACCCAGCCAGTGCTGAAGGTTCCAGGAGATGCCGGAGCACCAGGGTGGGTGTGGTGCTGGGTTTGTGGGGCCTGACCCAGACTGACCTCGGTCCATAACTCCAGCAAGCCCTGCAGGGTCTGGGAGTCACCAGGGGTGGCCAATGATGTGGGAAACAAAGGCAGAAGAAAAATTATTAAATTTCCTTGTATTCTATAGCCCATGGACAAGTCCTTGAAACAGGCAGAGTGACATTCCTCTAGGGACTCAACTGCCACGAAGCTAATATTTTGCTGAGGGCCAAAGGCAATCTTAGCCTGACCCCCAGGACCCTGTAAGTCTACTTTAACATATAAAAATACCTTTGGAAACTTCCTTTATCTTTACCCTCCAAGCTACGTGTTGGCAATCACCCCCCAAGCGTATGGCCCACCGATACACATCTGGAGGGTCTCACGACTCAGGTTTTATGAGACTGTAATAAATGATCCTTTTCAACAACAGCTAGCCCCCTCAAAGTCCTGGAGAGCTTGCTTCCAAAATTCCTTAGAGACTGACACTTTGCTTAATCCCCTCCCAACTTGAAAGTATATAATCAGCCACTCTTCACGACCCCAGTGCAGCTCTTCTTGCCCATGGGTTCCGTCCCCGTGCTTTAATAAAACCCTTTTTGCACCAAAGACATCTCAAGAATTCCTTCCTGGCCGCTGGCTTCAAACCCTAACGTCTTTCCTACATCAGCCACGGCCTGGGGGGTGCACGCAGGTGTGAGGCTGACCCTGACCTGCCCCAATTTGTTCGACCCAGCAAGCCTTTTGGGGTCCCAGAGTAAGCTGCTACAGAGGGCTACTAAGTTAGTGGGTGTTTGGCCTCTGTCTCCAAGAGGATGGCTTTCACCTTCTCTCCAGTGTCTGCTGAGACGAGCAGAGGGCTCAGCACAGATGCCGGCCTGGCTTAACCCCAGGTGGTCAGAGGGACACTTGGCTTCCCA